TGGGGGTATCTCACAAGTGATGGGTTAGAACACAATTTAGTCATTGTATTAGAATGTACATTGATGACAATACAACATAGCACTTACTTACTATTAAAAAACCCAATCTTCTAAAAATAATTATCATAACCTCATCTTTAAGCACATCAGACCCAACAACACAACAGTAATGGCAAGTTATTTGCCTGTGTTTGTGCTCGGTGTTTATGATGTTGATTTGAACATTGTGAAGAAAATACTTCGTTCAAGTTGTGTTTGTTGCCAAATTCTGGGCCAAAAAGAATTCAGTGTCCCTTCGTATTTGGACTTCAATGACTCCCAGTCAACTGCCTGCATTTTTGTGATTTGTAGTTAAATGTGACATGAAGTAGAAGCTCCAATTTGCTGTAAGCCTACAAACAGGGTTTAGTTGTTGTTTGGATGTGCCAATTTTRTCCTTTGCTCCACACCTTGTTATTTTTTTACAAGCATAGTATAGTTCCTGTGTACAATAAACATAGAACTTTTAAAAAAATTGAAACAACACCCCCAAAATGTTACCTTTTACACTTTGTCTATTGATAATTATTTCCTCATCATGCAATGTTTGTAACCCTAGCATCGTTTTTAACACATTCAGTGAGCTTTAAGGGAGTATTCATGTCTAACGTGTACAACAATCATTGCACAAATACAGAAATTATGACATTAAAATGAGAAGAAGCATGTTAACACCTTATTTAGTTTGAAGACATGACTCTGAACTCACTCTCTTGGTCTAATGGGAAAATTTGTCCTTGATTAGATGCTTGAAGTGCTTTTAAGGTATTTCATTAATAACATAGTATTCTCATGAGAAGAAACATTAGAAAAAAGAGTTTTTCTGAAACACTGAGTCGGGCTGCTCTGGTGTCTCTGTAWGCAGTCTTAAAATACCACAGCGCTTCTTTGAGATATTGAATCTGGGTGATGACATATAGTTGGCAGACCTTCGATCACTTTCCCCAAACTCCCACCAGACTTCATTTTCTTTTCRCACACTGTCACAAATGGAAATCTTTATTTGCCATGTATTTTAAAGAGCTGACCCCATACTCGATGTTTTAATAAAAGTAAAAATGTGTTCTGACATATCATTACTCACTTTGAAATTGTTTTTTTAGAACTAAATAGTTTATGTATTTGTGATATAGTTTCAGTTTCAGTCTTAAATGCCTCTCAGTTTGCTTCCAACGTTACAGTCGTGCAAATAATCTCTTATATAAAATGATACCCATGCCCAGCAGCATTCCTTTGTTGGGGAGTTTTGCCTATTTTATGGAATTTTCCTCCATGGTTTACAGGACATTAACGGTTTAGTCTGGCCGTGCAGCTCCATTTCCAGTTTGAGTCATTGTATTGGGAATAAATCATGATGACTCGTCCTTTATTTTATCCTGCTTCATCTCTCATTTGCTCTGGCTGCTGGATCTCTGGATGGAATCAGTCTTCAGTTGTAGATGATGCACAATTTATGTCGAAATGCTGTATTTACATTGTAAGGAAAACTGCTTGAGTGGTTAAAGGGTCACCTCTTACGTGATAATTTCATGTTTTAACGTGTAACGTGATTTCAACAGCAACTTCATGGAGATGGTTAAAACTGATTTCATTTTCAGTTGCAGAACGAAAAGATAGCTTCACTTTTTCAAACAAATGTAATACTTCATTAGTAAACCAACCTTTAATAAAAACATTGCTAACATATGGACATCSATTTTTGCAGATAAATCTGTGGTTTCTGTGCAAAGCCTGTACCTAAGACACAGAGTGACAGATTATGAATGAAACCCAGACCAGTTATAAAGGGACTGAGGGTTGCCTGAGGTAGGTTAGGAAGAAAGATTCATGGTAGGTAGAAAAGTTTTCCAGGGGCTTCTCTTGTTTGAGAACACATGATCCTGTCACTCCTCTGGGAGTCGGTGTTCAGGGTGGCAAATGGGGGAGGAATGTGCTCCTGCCTGGAAAAGGCTCGCAGTGCACAGGGAGTTCCTTCTTGCTGCCAACACTGCTTAGAAATTGAGCCCAGCCAGCAAGAGAAACTCAATCTTCCTCTCCAGCTGGCCTCTTTGCTAGCAGAGGAGTCGGAGTTGATGATGATGAACACCCACAGTGGATTAATGATTTGCCATAGATGAACCAATGTTTTACTTCAGCTGTGTCTCGTTCGTCTGCTGGGGGACTTTAAAAGGTTACTTCCACTCCCCCCACCCCCTGCATTCCCCAATTACAGCCTTGTTATCCACACTCTGTCAGGTGCTCGGTTGCATTCGCAGCATACGAGCGAAAGACAATCTAAGAAGTGAAAAGTGTGCATGACAGCTCATAAAGCCAAGATTGTTAGTGCAGCAAGCTTATGAGTGTCTCATATTGAAATTTCTTTGAGCTTTGCTGCCAAACGGACTTGGTGTGGTTTTGGAGCAATATATAATGTATCTAGCCTCGTTGGTTTCACCACATTGTGCAATGGAAAAAGAGCACACTTGCCTCCAAAATGGCTTTGAGAGTTTGCAGCACCATAATGTCTCATGAGAGCATCTAGGGTTAGAGTAAAGATCCCACTTGACAAACGGGTTAGAGAAAATAAACAGGCACATGTGAGTCATAAAGAGAAGAGTCTAACTACTGTCTGCTTAGCTTGCTGTAGAACTTTCGTTAATCCGACCGAATAAAAAAGGAGAAACCCAGTCACTTGTATGCCTCCAAGACATTTTGAAAACAATCCCGATTATTACCAAGCCATTTCAGGCCTGCATTTTTCTTAGATCAACCATAAAATGTATTATTTCTACTCAACAGGTTTCGCAGGAGCAGAAATTTTATGACTTAYTGAATTTTGCGATTCTGTTTCTCACCGGACCTCCCATAAGTTTTCTAGTATGACGTGTTACACTTGAGAGCCTTGGAAAAATGAGAAAACCGTCTTAACAGAGTTCCAATTTACTTTTCTTGCATCAAAGTTTTTCTTATTTTTATTTTCAAATAAAACACCTCCCACCATCATGTCTCCACCTAGCTCTCCTTCAGCTAATTATGCATGTAACTTGTGACTACCATGGGGACAAATTACAACTAGTGCGCACGGTTCGTTATCACTTGTCATGTATCATTTATCACACTTGCAATTACAACACCTCTGCTCTGCTTTTGCCACCACCTTCTCTCTTGAGACGCTCATTAAGCAAATTGTACAAGGGTGGATACGCACATAGGCGTGTTGCTCTGTCAGAAACCTTGTAGTGAAAGAGAAAACGTAGGGAAAGCCTTTTTACATCTATGTAAGAACTCCTGTAGAGAACAGGCCTTTATTTCCTCCTTCTTTAACCCCTGGTGTCTGTCCCACAGCCACCGACACACAGCCTGTGGCTGATTAGATTAGGTCAGGCTAGTTCATCTCTGACAAAAGAGAAGTCAGATTGTTCCCTTAATTAGTTTCGACACTTGCAAAGATAAAGTTAAGTAATACTTTTGGTGTTTTTATCTACCCCTCAACATAAACATAGTATTTATGTTTGCCCTTCTGGTCTTTTTCCTGTTTGGGGAGGAATAAGATTGTCCCACTAGGCTAACAATTTATTCTAAACAACAATTTATTAAACTGAGAAAGATTAAGCTCTTTTCATTCTAATGCTTAAAGGAAACACAAGCTTTGTATTTTGTTGGTGTACTATTTGGGACTTTCTGGTGGAAATGAAAATCATGGTCTGAACTCCTGGTATATTACATTTTCACTTCTCACCATGGACATGTTTATTTTATTTAGAAAGTTGATTTGTCTCATTGAGGCTGTCACCTCTGACACTCCTCCGTGCTTCAGAGCAAGATAGTAACAGATCCAGGCAGGCGACATGATGTGAAAAAAGGGAGAAAAAAGCAGTCCTGCACCTTAGGACACCTTAGGATAACAAACTAATGACATTAGCATGTGACCGGGCTGCTCCTCGAACAACAAACACATGTTCGTCTGTAATGGCTGCCGTCTACCGGTGTTCTGAAAAAGTTTGTCTCCCTGAAAAAAGTTTCCCCACCAGAGGGGGTGCTCACGAGTAGGAAGTAATCTGCTTTTCCCCCACAAGATGGCCCAAATCTCGTGTGAAGTCTCTGACTTTTGTATTGGCGCCTCCTGGTGGACTATGTGTAAAATGCCAGAATTCATATGATGCTGCTACAGCTGATATA